CAATTAATCGGAAGGACTGTAGATTTTAACCAGTTAATTGAGTAATCTGATATTCTTGCAAAAGAGTTTATCAATGCAATTACCCCAGAGGGATTGGTTTGTAAGTTTTAGAGAAAAAGTAACACATTCTTGCATTTTTTGATTTTTAAAGAACTTATTTTAACATTGCACTCAACAACAAACAAATCCTCCCTAACAAAAAAAATAACTTCAATGCCAATTTGCATTATATTTCTTCATGTCAACATAGAAGCGGTGATGTGGGCTTAGTGGACTTTTTAATAACAATTCATTACAATGTAAGCACTCACAAAGCTACTTTGTAAGATACTATAGATCCCTCTTAAAATTGTCAGTAAAACCTTCTTCCCAGGATTGCTTTTTTTTTTAACTCTCTCAGCTAACAAGCTAAAATAGGTTCATGCTGAGACATGAGATGGAAAAATGTCTTAATTTTATGTATTGATTACATGTTTTAACAATATCACTCTAGTAATTGAAATATCACTTTTGTGTCATTTAGTTAACTGGAACCCCAATTTGTTTATGCAAAAATATGAATAATCACTGCTGCAGATTAAAAGGAATATTTATATGGTTTAATGTTCTAAATCAAAGAAACCATTGCCTCAAGTTATTATAAGAGAAAACCCCGAAAATTAGAGAATCCCCTGTGAGCAAGCACTTGGCGACAGTGGGAAGGAAAAACTCTTAACAGGAAGAAACCTCAGACAGAACCAGGCTCAGGGAGGGCTTCAGCCATCTGTCGTGGCTGGTTGGGATGTCTCTTTCACAACTGAGGAATGATGATGTAAATTTGGTTTCTTATTTGGAATTGTTCTTTTGCAGCAAAGGTGCCAAACAGTTAAATTCTTTACACTCAGGAGCATAAATAGTTTGCTGTTTAAGAAAGCTGCTGATCTCAGACTGTTCAGCTGCATGAAGCTGCATGAAGAGGGCATGAGACAACGTTAACAAAAAAAAAGTCTGATAACAGATAAAAGGTCTTCATTTGTATGCTGAACCAAAAACTTTAACCTGGAATTATTTAACACTGAGTTAACATTGCTAACGTTGTGTTAGCAGCCATGAAGTAATTAAGACTCATTCATACAAGACTAACCAGAGAGGATCATTTCAAATGTAAATATATAATGTGATACAGGACTGAATATAACATCACTGTGTAAAAGTCCAGAGCCTCTGAGTTTCTAACATTGAACAAAGCAAAGGTCACGATCATGAAGTCCAGGGGTTGTTCATCTTCTGGGGTGGAGCTGTAAAGATTTCCCTCTGAGGGAGCTGCTGGTGAAGATGGAGAGTCCTGCTTGATCCCTGCCATGAGCTTACAGATGATGTTCCTGAAAGGACAGCTCAGCTGTGATGAAAGAGAGAAAGTTTCTCCAAACCTCTGAACCCCAGAATTCAGATCCATCCCTGTCCTGATGATCTCAGTGTCTTTTTTTTCTTTTTTTTTTACCAAGAGTAAATGTAGCTGTTTATAATAATGTGGACTCAGGGGGCCACCGTGTTGCATACCGTCACAGGTTCAAAGCAAATACAGAAGGACACTTCTGTTATCACACTTTGTGTTTGCTTGTGTACCATCCATATGTTGTTGGTGATAAGACATTATATTTGATATTTGACAAGCAACCCCCCCTCCATATTCAAATGTGGTCACCCTCTATGTCAATATAAAATATTTAGACATTAGTATAATTACAGTGGTTTTCATTAAGGATAACTGATGGAAAGTTATCGCAACATTTAATGTATAAGGTCAGTGAGTAAAAATAGGAAAAAAACTGGGAACATTTCTTCTGTTGTAAATGTTCTATTTTGTATCGCCTATAACCAGTGTTGGGAAGGTTACTTTTAAAATGTATTCCATTACAGAATACAGAATACATGCCCCAAAATGTATTCTGTAACGTATTCCGTT